ATATGTATGTATGTATGTGTGTGTGTGTGTGTGTGTGTGTATATATATATATATATATATATATATCACATCCAGACATCCCCAAATACTACTTTGTAACTATTTTTCACTGAAAATTTTTGGGGAATCATTCCACAGACCATTTATTACTTTTTAACAGCTAAATTTCATTGTATTCCATTGTACTGACAACAGCATCTTATTTTAATGATTCTATTTGGGTTCTCAATTTGCTTTTAAAAACAGTGATGTAAAAAGCTGGGTGTGGTGGCTCACGTCTGTAATCCCAGCACTCAGGAGGCTGAGGGAGGAGGATCACTATGAGTTCGAGACCAGCCTGGGCTACACAGTGAATTCCAGGTCAGTCTCAACTACATAGTGAGACCCTGTCTCAAAAAACAAAACAAAAAAAATTTAAAAAATAAAAACAGTGATGTAATAAACAACTTTACATTAACAGCATTATTAGATACAGCATATACTATGTCTCAGAAACTGTCTCATTCAATAATAAACCTTTCAGTGATGTGCTATTTTTTTCATTGAGGAAATCAGAAAATTTAAGTAATACATCAAAAGTTTAAAACATCAAAAAGCTGAATGGAATAGTGGAGATTAATTTCCTCTTGTTCCTTCAAGCATACCCTACAACTAGTACAAGAGAAATCAAAGGATACTTCTGAAAGCATAAGAGAAGCAGATCCACTAGCTAAGGGGTAAGTACCTCATAACTCTCTCCAACAGAAGAAAGCACTTTGCATTCCTCTACCCCAACCTGTAACAAAAGGCAGGGTTATTCTTCCCCTAGGTGGAACAGGAGTCCATACCAATACTAGATGATCCTAGCATCAACAGCCAGAGTGACCCACTAAACACTACTCACAATATGCAGAGAGCCTTTCTCCACCAGGTTCAACTTTAAAAAGGGTAACCCTACTACATGATCTAGATGCTAAACCCAAACTCCATGAATACATGCTACATAAATGATTTAAATAGGACCTGCAGATTCTCAATATAAAATTCAATCTGTCAAGATGTAATAAAAAATTGTTTGTCATTGTAAGAACAGGAAAATCACATCTTAAATAAGAAAAGACAATCAAATAATGCCAGCACTGGGATAGATGTTAAAAGTACCTAATAAGAATATTAATGTAGCCATAATAACAATGTTCCAACAAGCAATTACAAGTTCCCTTGAAATAGAAAAAAATATATATATATATATGATTACAAAAAAAGAAAATTATAATAATAAAAAATAACTGAACTGGGTCAAAAGTAGAATGAAGATAACAATGGAAATAATGGTAAATTTGTGGACAGATTAATAAAACAGCTGATCAATAAAATGTTAAATGACTTTTGTGCACTGATCTCATATCCTTTACACTGCTCAAGAAAGATACCTTATTCAGCAGGTGGTGCTGGGAAAACTGTGGAAGAATGAAACTGGACCTTTATCTCTCACCAAGTATTAAAATCAAAATCGATCGAACGTCTAAACAGTAACACTGAACCCAATGGCATATAAAATAGGAAAAACACTTGAAGCCATAGATGTAGGAAAGTACTTTGTAAACAGAACTGCAATTGCCAAGAAATAACAGCAAGAACCAAGAAATGGGATTACAGCAAATTGAAAAGCTTCTGTAGAGCAACGAATTCAATTAGTAGAATGAAAAGACAACCTACAGAATGTGAAAAAAATTTTGCCAGCTACTCCTCAAACAAAGGACTAATATCTGAAATATATAAAGAACGCGGATTTAGTTGGTAGTGAAGGTTCAGGGCGGCCAGTATGGTTCAAAGAGTTGAGTGGAGGTGAACTCTGGAATATGACAGCTAGTGATACGGAATGAGATGGACTAGCCCCAGAAAAGACATCCCAGAGAGAGATAAGAAAAAAGAGCAATCAGATGTATCTCTTTCTCCTAAAACCTCAAAACATCATTATTCTAAGATCACAATCAAGGTCAAGAGAAAGAAAAGGAAAGTCAGATAACGAAGGAAAAAAAGCACAGGGATTGGAGCAGAAGCAAAGCGTACTAATGAGCGAACAGACTGAATTGAAGATGCTGCAGACTGAGATAGCAAAATAATAAGCCTATTTCATAAGAACCAACTTCTTCTTAAATCAGGCAAGAAGACATGAATCCAATGATAAATCCACTAAGAAACACAAGTCTGAGGAACATAATAACAAAAAACATTCTTCTGATAAAGGAAGAGAGAGACTAAATTCTTCTTTAAATTGGGAGGACAGACACAAACGCAAAGAAATAAGTCGTCAAGAGGCAGAAGCCATTCAAGGTCGAGGTCGCGTGAAAGTTGGCATTGTAGTAGAAGCAGGGAACGGAAGAAGTCTCAATCCAGGAGTAGAGACCGAAAGAAATCATGATCCAGAAGCAGAGACAGGAAAATGTCACGATCCAGATGCAGGGAGAGAAAACGTCGGATCCCATCTCATTACCACTAACCATCAAGACACAGGCACAGGACTAAAAGCAGGAGTAGAACAAGGAGTAGAAGTCGAAATAAAAAAAAAAAAGAGAGAATTGAAAAACCAGTAAGACTTAGTAGAAGGTTAAGCCTGACTCCCAGTCACCTCCCTTCAGAGTTAGCAATACAGTGATGGATGCACAAGGTTTAGCTAGGAGATTGCAAAGAGTAAAGAAATTACGAGAGCTGCAGGAAAAGGAAATGGTTGAAAAACAGAAACAAAACTGGCTTCAGCAGCTGCAGCCACTGGAGGTTCTGTTCTCAATGTTGCTGCCCTGTTGGCATCAGGAACACAAGTGACTCCACAGATAACTATGGCAGCTCAAATGGTAGCCCTGCAAGCCAAAGCAATGACGAGACCGGAATAGCTGTGCCAACCTACTGCAACCCAGCAGCTGTGAACCCAATGAAGTTGGCTGAACAAGAAAAGGAAAGGAAAATGTTTTGGCAAGGTAAGAGAGAAGGGGACAAATCCCCATCTGCTGAAATATGGGAAAGATTGAATTTTGGAAACAAGGACCAAAATGTCAAATTTAGGAAGTTATTGGGTATTAAGAGTGAAGATGAAGCTGGATGTAGCTCAGTTGATGAAGACAGTTACAAGACATTGAAGCAACAAGTAGTATTTAGAAATCTAGATGCTCAATATGAAATGGCAAGATCACAAACCCATATTCAAAGAGGAATGGGTTTCGGCTTCACATCCTCAATGCAAAGAATGGATGAGTTTGAAAAAGATCACACTATTAAAGCTTGGGACTTTATATACAGACCTCTTGTTCAGATGTGAGGGCCTTATTCACCAAACAGCTAGCATTCTAGCTTGCATGGTACTGCATTGACTTTAATTTATTGAAAAATGCTTGTTTTTGTAAATATCAGATCAGTGATACTGGTGTTGGTGTTGTAATCAGGTTAAACCCACTTCCATTAAACT